GCAGCTCTGGGCAGCTAACATTAGAGCAATGGAAAACTATAACAAAAATAGTTTTTCTTGTGAGAAACTCCATAAATTAACAGGAAGAAACTTCTGTTTCTCTATAAAGACTGGTGAAAAGACTGTAGCAAGAATTGGGACTGTTTTAACCATCAAAGTTCCAAAGGTTTTGTCTCTTTTGTCATGTGAACAAGGGAATAGTGGGTAGACAGGGGATGAAAAGGTTTTTCTGGAAGTTTATTCTGGTGTTCTTATTGTAGTTTGTCAATAAACTTTTCTTTTTTTTCCTTTTAAGTTTTATGCCTGTTTTGCTCTTGTTCTAATCCATATCTCACAGCAAGAAATAAGTAATTTTCTTAGTTATTGGTTTAAAACCACGACAAATGTCTTACCAGGGGAAAAAAAAAACAGGACCTAAAATATATTTTCTCACAGGCTTTATAAATATAATATATTCACTTTGACTACACTTCTGAAATCTGCCTAATTAACCTCAAAATATTTGAAATCTTAATGCAAATTATTCCCAGAGGTTTGGCTTGTTAAGGTGTTCTGAATGTTAGTGAGCCCTGGGGCACTGAATTCCTGAGCTGAAGGCTGCACAAGCCTCTGGAGAAGTAAAACTCAGCAGCAGCAGCATCCTCCAAGTTGCTGAGGATGTCAGCAGCCTGCAGAGGCCATCCCTGTCCAGAGACCGTGAGGGAATGGGCAGACAAGGAGAGCATCCCTGGGGCTGGGGAAGCAGAACTCAGAGGCACCAGTGGCTCCAGGTGGGAAATGGAGTGTGGAATTTGGCTGTGAAAGCCCTGCCTGGGCTGTGCCAAGCAAGACAGCCAAGCCCTGACCCCCATCCCCCAAACAACTCTCTCAAGGAGACATTTAAAAAGAATTACAATTGTTTGTGTTCTCTGAGTGGGATGCACTGGAGAGATACCAAGAAGAGATTCTCAGGCAGAACAAAACAGACTTTTCTGGGAACTTCAACAAATCAGAGAAATTTTGGCAAGAGTATTAATATGACATTCAATCAACAAAAACCACTTCTCGAAGCATTAACTTGGCCCATCCAACTTCACAAACTCTAAGCCTTTAATTTTAAGTTAATCAAAATTTGCAAGAGGACAGAAATAGAAGAAGACACAGAATGAGAGAAAGCCAAAAAACCTTTAGAGAAGCACACAGAGCAGCCAACTCCTGGATTCCAGCAGCATTCAGATAGAAATTCCAAGAGGAGGTAGGGTCAAGATGTGTGCTTACCTTGTGGTCAGCCTTAAATGCCCCTTGGTCTTCCTGGGCCCTTTCCCCAGGTGGGATTTCTGATCATTTGGTCACTCAGGAGCTGGGCTGGCGGCTCCAGAGGTGGGTGTGGAGTATTGCCTTTGGTGTGTCAGGGACTGGCAGACACTGCTGGGCTGGGATAGAAGCTCTGGAGGAATTGGGGTTACAGGGCAGTGCGGTGCTGGAGTTACAGGGCAGGGCAAGGCTGGAACTGCTCCTTCTTCCCCTTTGAAACACAAAATATTTCAAGCCAACAATCTCCTCCAGTCTCTCAAAACAGGAAATGGTAGAGGTGGAATCTCAGCTTTGGCCGTGGGCACCTGGGCAAGAAGAACAGTTCTTTTCTGTAGGAAGAAAAGTACAGACCCCCACTGCTTCAGGAGCAGATGAGAAACAACCCTCAACATGCCAAGGTCAGCCAGACCTGTCAGATGGCCTCTGGGAGGCCAAGCCAGCCAGATTGGTTCCATGTTCCCTCGGTTCCATGGGGCCCCACAGTGTCCCAATGGTCCTTTGCTCCCATGAGGCCCTGAGATGTCATAATGTCCCCTTGGCTACACAAGGCCCTGAAGGATCTTAATGGTCTCCATGGTTCCATAAACCCCACAGAGCCATAATGGTCTCTTGGTCCCATGAAGCCCTGCTGTGTCACCATGGCCCCTTGGTTTCCTGGGCTCCAGTGGTGCCACCATGATCCCCTTGGTTTCATGAGGTTGCCACAGTGTCACAGTGATCTCCACAGGAAAGAGAGAACTGAGCCCCAGTGCTGTAGGGGCAGTCACCAGAGGCCAAGGCCAGCCTGACTTCATGGTACTGGCAGATTTTGCCTGGGAGCAACCCTTGGATATACAGAATTTTAAAGGTGGAATATCAGTTTCAGACATGGACACCCAGAGGAGAAGGACGGCTCTTTTCCATAGGAAGGAAAGCACAGAGCCCAAATGTTTCAATCAAAATGATTGGCAGAGCTGTCAGTCACACAGCAGGGGCAGTACTAACTGTTTCAAAGAGCCCAAATGCTGGGCCTCCCAGGTGAGTCCTGGGAGGCCCAGCCAACCAGAACTGTTTATCCTGGCAGCTTTTGTCATGGAGGAGTCCTTGGATATATGGAACTTTGGAGAAGGAATCTCAATTTTGAACAGAGACACCTTGAGAATAAAGACTCTTCTTTTCCATTGGAAGGAAAGCATCAAGCCCCAGTGTTTAGAAAGCAGGTGAGAGGAAGCTCTCAAGAGGCCAAGGGCAGCCAGACTTGAGTGTCCTGGCAGCTTTCACTTGGGGAGAAATCTATGGATGTATGGAGTTTTGGAGGTGGAATCCCAATTTTTGCCATGGGTGCCTGCTCAAGATGGATGGGGTTTTTTCCCATAGGAGAGAAAAGCACAAATTCCAAGTGTCTTGTAAGAAGATGAGAGATGGCCACCAGGAGGCCAAGCCAGCCAGACCTGTCTCTCCTGGCACCTTTTGTCTAGGGGCTATCCTTGGACATTCGGCATTTTGGAGCTGGAATCTCAATTTTGGCTGTGGGTGTCTGGACAGGAAGAAGAATTCTTCATAGTAGGAAGGAAAGCACAGAGCCCCAGTGTTTCAAAGACACATGAGTATCAGCCCTCAGGGAGCCAAGGCCAACCTGATTTGTCAGCCCTGGCAGCTTTTGTCTGGGAGCTATCCTTGGATACAGGGAATTCTGGAGGCAGATTCCCAGTTTTGGCCATGGGCACCTACTCGAGATGGATGGTTTTTTTCCCATAAGAAAGAAAAGCATATGGTGTTTCAAAGGCAGATGAGAGGTGGCCCCTGGGTGGCCAAGGTAGCCAGATCTGTCCTGGCAGATTTCATCTGGGAACAATCTTTGCATATAAGGAAATATGAAGGAGAAATCCCAATTTTGGCCATGGGCCCCTGGAAGAGAAGGACAGTTCTCTCCCATTGGAAGGAAAGGTCAGAGCCCCAGTGCTTCAGGGGCAGATGAGAAGCAGCCCTCAACATGCCAAGGTCAGCAGGATCTGTCAGGTGGTGCCCAGGAGGCCCAGCCAGCCAGAGCCGTTTCATATTCCCTTGGTTTTGTGGGACCCCACAGTGTCACAGTGGCCCCATGGTTCCATGAGGTTCTGTAGTGTCACCTTGGTCACTGTCAGAGGCTGGATGAGATCGATGTCCCGAGACATCTTGGGATGCTCAGAATGCCCATGTGGGGTCAGAGGTGGGTCAGGCTTTGGTGTGTGGTGGGACAGAGCCCCCAGCCCTGGCAGAGCTGTCAATCACACAGCAGGGGGCAGTACTAACCCAGCTCTGATTGGCCAAGCTGTCAATCAATCACACACTAGAAGGTGGTGCCTACCCAGACTCTGGCCAAGCAAATGGGAAGTCCCACCCAAGGGGGGTGGGGGGGCATGAAGGCCAGAGGCTTAAAAGATGGAGCCTGAGGTCAGCCCATGGTCTGCAGCCTGTCTTGTCCTGGGGTTCCTCTGATAGTGACACTGGAACCCAAGCAGTTGGTAGCTATATGTGTGTCTTTCTATAGATCTTCTGTCTTTCTGTTCTCCATTTCTTGTCCTTCCAATCCTACTTACCTGGAACATTTTGGGAAATTTAACATCTTAAGGGTTAAAGGTTTTTCGGTTAAATGGGCTCAGCTAACAAAGTTATAGCTATGAAAAAGAGATTTTTGTTGAATTAGATGTTGTATTAAACCCTTTGCCAAAGTTCCCTGATTGTCTATATTTTGCCAGTAAAATTTTGTGTCATTTTGGCCTCTCAGCTCAGTTGGTCATGGCATGGTGCCAGCATCAGCGAGGCTTGATGATCCTTGTGGATCCATTCCTAACAAGAATATTCTTTGCATCTGTCCACATTGAGAATATCTGGTCGGTGTTATCTTGAAAACTCATCCAGATTTGGAGAAGAGGAAGTCAGGAGAAGGGTGACAGGGGCAGAGATCCACAATAGGCCTTGGACCCAGTGCCATCTCAGCTGCTCTGAGCTCCGGGGCTATGACACATGTCAGTGTCACACCTGTGTCACAGCCTTACCTGCTCTGGTCCCTCTCCCAGCTGGGGTTTTCAGGGTGCCAGGGGCTTGGCAGCCACTTTGGGGCTGCAGTGGCTGGGCTGGGGCAGTGACCGCCCCACCTAGGCAGAACTTGCTCTGCCCCCATACACACACTGGAGATGTCTGGGGCCATTCATCATTTCTCTGCTCTCCAGCGCTGAGGCAACACACTCTGGCTACAGCTCTGAGCTTGTGCCCATGGCAACCACCCCTGGCAATGGGGCTCCATGGAGCTGCTCTCAGGAACCCCCCAAGAGTTGGGGAGTGCCCCAAAAGCACCTCAGAAATGTGAGATATCCCAAAATCTCTTCAGGAAAGTGGAATATCCTAAACTCACTCAATAACGGGCTCCCACTCTCTCATCATTTCCAAACTTTGGCTGTCTCATTCCAGACACCACCCCATCTCCTGAAACCAAACTCATCCCACCCGTGCTGGACATCAAGACCCTTTTCCCAAGCCCTATTTCCCCCATTTCACACCTCCCAAACTCCATCATACCCATCCTGCCCCACCCAATGCCCATCTCACCCCTCCTGATTTGCATCCCACTTCACCCAATCCCCTTCCAACCCCATTCCACCAGAATGCTTCAGAAGGCTGACCTAGAACAGAGGATAGACAGAGTTGAGAATAAAGTTTATTAAAAGGCCTTAAAGGATATACCTAGAGCAGCACAAGAGCCAAGATGGACAAAAAATGGTCAGAAAAATGGACAACGGATCACGAGGTCTCACATTTTTAGAAGTTTAGGTCCATCTGCATATTGGGGTTCATTGTCCAATTACAGCTTCAGATGATGAAGTCCCATCCTTCTTGTTTTCTCTCTTCAGTCCACCCTTGTTTATGCTTTTGGGCCTGGAACTTGTAACTGAAACTGTCCTTGGTATCAAGCTAGAAAAAGAATTGTTTTGTCTACCTACTCTGTGAAGAGAGCTCACTAACACTTAATACGAAGTTCAAAACTACAAACCTAGGCAGTGCAGAATATGAAAAATATGAAAGCTAAATCTTAAGACATCACACCCTGAGGGGCTGTGGAATCCAGGAATTCTGGGTGGGAATGAGTAGTTTTCAGTGGCATTGAGAGGTTTTGAGGTGACAGATTGAACACTCTCATCTCTTTGAGTGACACAAAATGGAGAAAACTACAACAGATACTCACACAATCCCCAAATCGTCCCAATTATCTCCTTGAATCCCAGATTCCCTTGAAGCACTAGTAAAAAATGAGGCTCTAGATGCCTTTGACAAATTTGGGGACTTTTACCCCAATTTTGTCTGTTTTAAACAGATGAAGAGGAATCAAAAGATAGAACCAAACTAAAATGTCCACCAGCCCAGTGTCTTCCCAACACAGATCACTGGGATCTTGGTGGGTCTTCAGAGCTCTGCCCAATGTGGGTCCTCTGATGGGGGATGGAGCGGGGGCAGTGCACAAAGCTTTTCCTGCACCTGGGGCACTCGCAGGGCTTCCCTTAGTGCTGCCTCCGTTGGTGTTGGGTCAAGGCTGAGCTGTCTGAGAATCTCTTCCCACACTGGGGACACTCATAGGGCCTCTCCCCAGTGTGGATGCACCGGTGGGTGATGAGGTGGGAGTTTCGCTTGAAGCCCTTCCTGCAGTCAGGGCAGCGGAAGGGCCTCTCATCTGTGTGAATCCTCTCATGCTCAAGGAGATGTGAGCTGGTCTGAAATCTCTTCCCACACTCGGGGCACTCGTAGGGCCTCTCCCCAGTGTGGATCATCTGGTGGATGATCAGTTGGGACCTCTGGCTGAAGGTCATCCCACATTCCCCACACTCATAGGGCCGTTCCCCGGTGTGGGTCCTCTGGTGAATGATCAGGCTGGAGCTGTTGCTGAAGCTCTTCCCACATTTCCCACACCCGTAGGGCCTCTCCCCAGTGTGGATGCGCTGGTGGGTGACGAGGGTGGAGTTGTCCTTGAAGCCCTCCCCACAGTCAGGGCAGCAGAAGGGCCTCTCCTCTGTGTGAACCCGCTGGTGCACAAGGAGATGGGAGCTCCTCCGAAATCTCTTCCCACACTCAGGACACTCGTAGGACCTCTCCCCAGTGTGGATGCGCTGGTGGGTGACAAGGTCAGAGCTGCAGCTGAAGCCCTTCCCACATTCCCCACACTCGTAGGGCCATTCCCCAGTGTGGATCATCTGGTGGCGGATCAGGCTGTTGATCCAGCTGAAGCTCTTCCCACAGTCCAAGCACTTGTAAGGCTTCTCCCCATCCTGAAGCTGCTCATGGACCACCAGCTCAGAGCCCCAGCTGGATCTCCAGCCGCCTTCCTGGCACAGGGTGGGTCTTTCCTCCTCAGAGCACCCTGGGCTGAGTTTGGAGCCCCTTCTCCTGTGGGACCTTTGGGGATTTTCCTTCCCGTTGGATTCCTGTGCTGTGGAGCTGCTCAAAACTGCCTCTTCCACAAGGTTCTGCCCTGGGGATTTGTCCTCCCTGGTCTCCATCTTCAGCTCCTTGTCTGGGGGAGGAAGTACAAGGAGAGGATAGGATTTGCCTTCGTGACAAAGGGAAGGGGAAGGAGATCCCCCCAGTGCGTCCACAGCAGGACGGTGTCAGCAGCGGGGTTGTCCTGCAGCCAGGGGCCATGCTGCGCTAGGAAATGGAGCAGGAGAGAGGGGGAAAGGGGCAGTGACTTCCTCTTCACCTCCTGGGGTGTCCTGGGCCATCTTCCTCTTCCTTGCAGCCTCCTTCTCCATCGGGCCAAGGTTTGGGAATGGGAAATCCTGGTTTGGGGGAAACAAGGTATGAGAACATTGAGTTTGAAGGTCCCTCTGCCCAAGTCCATCTCTAGAAGTCATCGACCATCTGGGGTCCATAAAAATCTCCCAAACACCAAGATTCAGCCCTGAAAATGCCTCCCAGGAGTTCCCCATCTCTGGTCTCTCCCCTTTGGTCTTCAGGGGTTCTCCCCTGTCCCAACTACTGGGAGTCACACTTGTACTGGGGGTCCCCTGTCTACTCTGTCCCTGTCCTTCCCAGGCTGCTGGGCGTGCCAGGAATATGAAAAGTTCCCCCCGATTCCATCTCCCCATTTAGGGATGCTGGGACCCCCCAATGTCCCCCGCAGGGGCATTTTCCGCTCAGCTTTGGAGTTTTTCATTCTCCAAACCTCCCCCCCAAAAAACCAACCCAGGGACCCCCCAGGATATCTGGGCCAAACTCCCCCTCCCCAGGCACCTGTGGGATGAGGGGTGGTGATCCCACGGGTGGGGAGCTGTGAATTCAGGGGGTGCTCGACCTCATGGTTCCTTCTCCTTTCCATGATCCTCCTTGGTCCGTCCTCTTCCTCTCGCTTTTCCTCCCTAATCCCATCTTCTTCTACTTCCATCCCTTCTTGCTGTCCTTCTTCATCCCTCCTCTTCCATCCCTCCTCCTCCTCCCCCAGGAGCAGCAACACCCTCGGTGCCCTGTTCCCGAAGTCATCGCCACTCATGGGAGGAGCAGGGATGGAGCTGGGACAGGTCCGGATGGGCAGCGTGAGGCTCTCAGCTGCTCCTGTCATGAATAAAATCTCTCAAGAAATCCACCCTGGTTAAAATACTGTGTTTAGTTGTGTACAGCTAATGTTCTTGTCCCATTTGTAAACCTTGTTTGTTGTACCCTTTGTTTACTCCAATAGTTGTTAGTAATGTTAATTACTTACCAGTTGTTGAAGTGTTTTAAGAGTTTTTAAAAGACATACCTCTACCCCTTTCCCTTACTTCCCTGCTACTATGTAACAAAGCTACTCCCAGGGGGCTGTGCTCCCGAGTAATATGCAAACTAAGGCATGCAAGACACCAAAACAATGAACTAACAAAGGAATAAAACAACAAAGAAACATATTCTAGCAAGCTATGATAAAAGATCATCTTCCTGCATCACCTAAGCCTGCTTAGAAACCATCTTCCTCCATCACCATGGCCTAGAGGACTGGAAAGGACTGACCCCCCTGGACAATGAACCAGAACAACAGGCCTCCTGGTTACTCCCATGAGGATGGAAGCCCCAGCTCTGCAGGGTGTGCTGCAAAGCTGAACTGTGTCTCCTCCTTGGAGCTGCCAGTGTGAGAGCAGCAGTGGTGGTGCAAGTGACCCCTCGGGCCCCCCAACCCAAGAGCTGAGTCCTAATAAAGGCATAAAACAGGAGTCTGTCTCCTGGCCAATTTATTTTAGCTGGGGGCTCATCTGGCATAGCTACGCCCACTGAGGACCAAGGACTGAGTGACCACTGCCCGTTGGACCTCCATGGGAAGATCGGCTATCACGGACCAAGGATTCAGCCTGGGATGTCAACTCCAAGGAGTGTCAGTCAGAGACTGGTGAGTGACCAGCGGTGGGAGTAGGGAGACGAGCGAAAGTGAGAGTGAGTGAGATGGGGGCTGGCAGCTTGGACCCTCTACTGCCATGGTTCCAGACTCTCGTGAGGGGGCTGGCCAGGAACGAGGGGAAGTGATTGGAAAAAGAGAGTTTGAGGCGTCTCCCTTGGGAAAACTCCGTGTGGGTGGAGGATATAATTTGGTGTGATGACCCACAGACTCCAAGTAGGCCTGGGTGCGTAGGGACTTGGGGAGGCCCTAGTCATGCACAGGGGAGTGCCGGGAGGGGGAGCACTACCCTATTGGGACCGGACTCTCACAAGGGGCTAGCTACCCTGGATCGCGGGTGGGCAAGGGGCTAGGGAGAGCCCTATTGGACGAATCCCCTGAAGGAGAGTTGGGGAACTATAGGCTGCTGGATTGAGGGGCTAGGCCTCAAGATCATCCAGGCTATAGAACCCTGTGAGAGTAAGATCTGAGTTTGTGTTGATTAGAGTTCTTTAGTTCTTTCATTGGGGTAGAGGCACCTTAAGGAACTTTTACTGTGAAGGGCCAAATCAGTTTAGGTTATTTATAGGTTGTATTGCCCGTCATTAAGTTTCTGTTCAGGTAGGGGCACAGTAAGTTGGTTTTTAAGGCCTGATTGAGAGATCAGGATGGGGAAGTGTTTAAGTAAGGAAGACCCCAGAGAAAGAGTGAAGCACAAAAGAACATCCCTCTCGACAGTCCACTGGGGCAATTGTTAGACAAATGGGAAACATATAATACCACAAAGGGCCTAGATAAAGTTAAAATGATTCACTATTGCATAGAGGTTTGGCCCAATCTAGAATTGCAAGCAGAGTGGCTGTGGTATGGGTCCAATGATCCCTGGGTTTGTTCCCAACTTAACCGCTATTTAAGGGATCAAGGTAACCCCAATTTAGAACAAATACCCTATGTGGCCTGTTGGGAAAGAGGTCTCACTAAAGAAGAGATTGTTAAAATCTGTAAACTTAAGAAGCAAAAACAAGAAAGAAGGGATAAAGAAGGAAAGGTATCAGAGAAAGAAGTTCATAGCAAATGGGACCCCCTAGACTATCTTCCTCCTCCCCCTGTTTACCCAGCAATGCCCCAAATCCCTTTCCTAGACCCCCCTGCAATTCTACCTTCAAACCCCTCCCCAATTACCCAAATAAACACCTTGAGTCCTTCCCCAGCTTCTCCTTCCATTGAAACTCCATTCCCCTGCAGCTTCTATTTCCCCAGCAGAGGTGACCCCGCTACCACCTCCATCTAATACTGTAAGCCCAAACCTTCCACCAGCCATGGTTATCCCTTCACCATCTCCTGCCTCAAATATAAATATGTGTCCAAAATCCAAAACCCCTACCTGTCACACCTTCAGCCCCCTCTTCAACCCCTTTACAAACTTCTTCAACTCCCTTTCCTGTGTCTCCAGCTACAGGCTCATCTTCCTCTCCTGCTCCTGCTACTCTCCCACTACCTCCTCCTAAGTGGGGACTAAGTTTATCCACCTCCTCTTCAAGTTCTCCTAGTATAAATCCGGCAGAGGGGCCATATTGCAATACCCCATCTAAAATCTCCAAGGTAGAAAAGCTCTTTCCCCTTAGGGGGAAGTTCCTATTGGAGGAGTAGCTAGGGGAGTCAGCTTTGTAAATGTCCCCTTGACAGCTTCTGAAGTGCGAGGTTTTAAGAAAGAACAGGGAAATTTTGTAGAAGACCCAGTAGGAATAGCTAATCAAATAGACCAGTTCTTGGGTCCAAATATCTATACCTGGGGAGGACTAAATTAAATCCTGAACATGCTCTTTAACCCAGAGGAGGTTAGGTTAATCAGAGCTGCAGGCATGAGAATTTGGGAAAGGGAGAACTCGCTGGGGCCCCCGGGGGATTATAAATTACCTCTAGTGAACCCTGGGTGGGACCCGAACAAAGAATAGGGGAGAAGAAATATGGAAGACTATTGATCTCTGATAGTTAGAAGGATAAAAAAATCTGTACCTCGGGGAAACAACACCAGATTGGCATTTGATGGGACTCAAGAGAAAGAAAGAACAATTTCTAGACACCCAGTAGTCCCCAACCTGTACACCATGCTGAATAAAATACCAAGAACACATGCATGGTTTACCATTATTGACCTGAAAGATGCCTTCTGGGTATGTCCTTTAGTGGAAAATTGCTGGGACTGGTTTGCTTTTGAATGGGAGTGCCCTAAGAGGGGTAGGACACAGCAACTGAGGTGGGCACGCTTACCTCAGGGATTCACTGAGTCCCCTAAGCTTTTTGGACAAGCGTTAGAAGGTATTTTGGAACAATTTACTCTGGAAGAGGGTATTCAGATTCTACTATATGCAGACGATCTGTTAATATCTGGAGAAAAGCAGGATACAGTAAAAATAACAAGTGTCCAGTTTCTACATTTCTTAGGTACAAATGGCCTGAAGGTATCTCAGAACAAATTGCAGTTTGTACAATTGGAAGTAACTTATTTAGGACACAATTATTGGAGAAAGATTTAAAAAACTAAGCCCCGAGAGAATTGCCAGCCTGATGTCCATACCTGCTTCAAAAAGTAAGAGGGACATAAGGAAACTATTGGGATTATTTGGCTATTGTAAAGTATGGCTAGATCAGTACACCCAAAGCGTCAAATTTCTCCATGAAAAACTAGTAGACCCTAAGCCAGTCAAGTGGACAGCTGAAGATGAAGGACAGCTAAAAGATTTAAAGAACAAACGATCTTCAGCACCGGTGTTAAGCCTACCAGACCACCAGAAAGAGTTCCATTTATTTGTTAACACGGAGACAGGTACTGCATATGGTGAACTAACTCAGGAATGGGGAGAGAAGAAAAACCCATAGCATACCTTTCAAAATTATTAGATGCTGTTGCCTCCCGGCAATTGCTGCAACTGCCATCCTAATAGAAGAAGCAAAAAACTGACCCTACTGTTATAAGTGTTTTAAATGAATTATTTTATATAGTGTTAAACTAGGGTTTGAATGATTGTTGAGTTTGTTGGTATATTCTTCCCCCTATTGATTGTATTGGTTTTGGCCCCAGTTGTCTGTTATGTAGACCCCTCCTAGTTTTCAGGAACATTCCTTATCAATCACCTTAACCCTGCCCCTACCCCCTATCCATCATTGCAAACCCCACCTCTTCTTCCAGACCCTTCCATGTCTATCATTCCTGCCTCAATGCTTTATTGGTTGTTACGTTACATTCCCACCTTCCTTGTACCCCCATTGGTCCCTGAGAGTGTAACCTCCTCCCCTCACTCCTCCTCCTGAGAGCTCCCATTGGACCCTGGATTGTATCCTCCCCTGGAGATTGGGCCGTATTTAATCTCTTGCACAGCAGTGTTTGGGGGCTCTCCTCTTCGGGTTACCATTGAGGGAATTCGGGCTAACCTGGGTTCCAATTCCTGTTGGTTCTTCCTTTAGTTATCAAATAAAAGGTTTGGTTACTTGCCTTTTAACATCTAGCAAGAGTCCAGACCCTGTTTTTGACACTACTAGGAAAGATTAAGTGTACACACCCCATGGCCTAAAAACGGTACTTAGTCAGAAAGCCCAACACTGGTTAACAGACCCAAGAATATTAAAAGTATGAAATTATTCTAATGAACACTGCAGATTTAGAAATAGTTACCTCTCGATGTCTGAAACCCACTCAATTTCTTTCAGGTGACCCTCTAGATGAAATAAAACATAATTGTTTGGAGGTCATAAATTATCACACTAGGATAAGGGAAGATCTAGAGAATCTACCCCTACCCTACGGAAAGACCTTATTCACCGATGGGTCTTCAAGGGTGGTAAATGGAAAAAGAGCCTCTGGTTATGCAGTAGATGTGGTAACAGAAGGAGGACAACTAAATACTGTAGAAAAGGTAAAGTTACCAACCAACTGGTCGGCTCAATGTTGTGAAATTTATGCCCTAAAAAGATGATTAGATCTATTAGAAGGGGATAGAGGGACAATCTACATGGATTCAAAATACGCCTTTCGTATAGTCCATACGTTTGGAAAGATCTGGGAAGAACGTGGATATTTAAATTCAAAAGGAAAGAATTTAGTACATGAAGAACTGATAAAATCAGTAATAGGGTCCTTACCAAAACCCTTAGTAATAGCTGTTGTACATATAAAAGAGCATCAAAAGGGAGATACCCTGGAAAAGAAAGGAAATCAGTTAGCCGACCACATGGCCAAAGAAGGAGCCATGGATCCAGGTGATTCAGCCAAAATCTTAAAATTAAATGAAACACCAACAGACGGGGAAAAGGAAAAGCCAAAGCAAATTTCTACAGAAAAATAATTAAAAGTAATAAAAGAATTAGGCCTACATCAGGGAGAATGTGGGGAATATATAACATCTGATGGATGTAAATTCCTAAATAAGGCCTCAGCCCGAAAAATCTTAACAGAAATCCATGGACTCACCCACTGGGGAAGCCAGAGACTGTGTGATCATTTCTAAAGAGACAATTATTGCATAGGGGTGTATAACTTAGCAAAGGCAGTCACTGAGGGATGTGTAATTTGCCAAAGGGTAAATCAAAATATCCTGAGAAAGACCATACCTGGGGGAAGAGAATTGCCTCTGAGATAATTTCAAAATATACAGATTGACTTCACTGAAACGCCTGCAGTGCAGGGCTATAAGGACCTGCTGGTAATAGTTGACCATCTGACTCACTGGGTTGAAGCTTTCCCTACAAAATGGGAAACTGCAGAAGTGGTAGCAAAAATACTGATAGAAGAAATAATCCCCAGGTATGGTCTAGACAGTAACATTGACTCGGACAGAAGCCCCCATTTTATTGCCCAAACTACATCGCATCATCGAGGCGTTGGGAATAAAATGGAGGCTTCATACCCCTTGGCACCCCCAGAGTTCCGGAAGGGTAGAGCAGATGAACAAGACCTTAAAAAACATAATAACTAAATTAATCAATCATAAAAACCTACCTAAGCTGGCTCAAGTGCTTACCGCTCGCCCTTCTGAGAATTCGCACGAGACCACGAGCAGACACAGGGGAGTCTCCCTATGAAATGATGTTTGGGCTACCCTTCCTACTCACCCCATACAGAACAGGAGACTAGCTAGAAGGAGAGGCCTTAAGCCACACAAATCTGGAAACTATCAGCAAAACCTTAGAGAGTCTAAGGAGCAAATGGGATCATCCTGGAAGGAACTGGGAATATGCCCTGCGCTCCCCAGAACCCCAGTATCGCCTCCCATATGTCCCCCAAACCCTGCAGGATCCCTGAGTGCCCCCTCAGCGCCCGTTCGGGACCCCCCCTAAAGCGTCCCTGGATCCCTGAATGCTCCCGACCCCACAGACGCCCCTTCCAGCCACTGCTGGGAATTCATCTCCCATCATCCCAGAACACAGTTCCGCACCCAAACCTCCTGCCGTGCCCAGCGCCCTAAAGAGCCCGGTTACAGCTCCCCAGGTTCCCCCCAAGTGCTCCCGAGCCGTATACATTCGCCCCGAGGACCTGCAGGCACGGCTCGGACGCAGAAGTGCTCTCCAAGTGCCTTCCCGCACCGCCAAACACACCTTCCGAGCCACGTCCGGGACTACAGCTCCCATCATGCTTCACGGCGCCCATAGAGCGCTATTGCAGCCGAGACTTCATCTCCCGTTATGCCCCGCGCACCACCGGAACCCATTGGAGCCGCGTTTCCAACTCCCGTGATGCTCCGCGGCCCCATTAAACCGTATTATACCGGCGCCTACAACTCCCATCATCCCCCGCGCCCCAGAGAGCTCCGTTATGGCCCCCACAAGTGCTCCCCCCGGACACCGAAGGGCCCCCAGCTTCCCCTCCCTGACCTCCAAGTGCCTCCCTGGGCCCTCGAGTGCTCCCCCGGGCCCCAAACTGTCGCACAGAATCCCTAAGTGCCCCTCCAAGTGCCCACCCGGCTCCCCTAAGTGTCCTCCAGACCCCCAAGTTCTCTCTAAATTCCCTCCCCAGGCCCAAAACTGCCCCAAATGTTTTCCAGAAAAGTTTCCATGGGCACCAAAGTGGCCCCTTTTACCCTGTCTGAGAATAATTTAAAAATTATGATCAAAGGACTAAAATTAGGAGTAATTAGCATAAAGCGGGAGAAATAGTGGTAAGTTAATTAATGAAGGGAATTGTGGTACTTAGAACCAAAGACCAATAATGTTTTTGTTCCTGAAAATGTATCAATTCTTTTATATAAATATAAAAATGATGTTATTAAAATACAGAACAATATTATTATAAAAAGTAAAATGTTATTTTTATTAATTAATTAGATGTTAATGATAAAGAAAAGTTGATAAATGTTTTCAGTGTTTTGGGATGTCAGTCCCAGGTCAGGGTCAGCCTGCAAGGGGCTCATTCTTCTCCCTGACCAGACCTCCTAAGGAGACATTCAGTATCAGGATTGTAAAGAGTAAATCGTGACCTCCTGATCAGTACACAAAGATGTTTACAGTTTGAACAGTAGAATGTTGTCACCATAACGTGCTTTCTTTGTTAATATACCTCATGTTGTGTCATGTTTGTTAAACATCACTGTTGTTGTACCAGCCTTGTTAATGCCACCTGGCCTTGTCTATTGCCTCTGCTGCTCCCGGCACCCCCAATGGCAACCAATGACAGCACCCAGTGTGTAGATGAGCCGAACTCCCATGGGGGTTAGCACCCAGGGGAAGTGGGATTAACATCTAAAGATCCCTAGAATCAGCGAGCCATCACACAAACTGGACTCCAAACTACGTCGAGGAACAAGGGAGAACATTGAGCAACTGACTGATGTTCCGGACCTCATCGCCATAACTACACAACACTTGCTACCCATGACTACGCTAGGTTTACAATGACCAGTGTCTTCCTAGAGACTCTCCTGAAGACAGAATCCCCAGCTCTGCCCTGTGGCAAAGTTGAACACCTCCTTTTCTGGGTCGTCTATTGGAAACAGCAGTGGTCGAGCTCCCCCACCTAGAGCTGACCTCAATAAAGGCATTAAAAAGGAGCTGGTCTCCTTGCCTATTCTTTTCAAAAGGACTGACCCCGTGGCAGTGACCCACGCTGCAGCACTGTGAGGGGGCTGTTCCTCATGGGATGGACTCAGGAAGGAGAAGTTCCTGGAGAAGTCTCCGGTGGGAGAGAGCCCAGGGTGCAGCAGGGGAACGACTCCTGTCCCTGAGCAGCGGGAAAAGCCCCGGGGAATGGAGTGACCATGGCCCCATTCCCTGTGTCCCTGCACTGCCGGGGGAGGAGGCACAGCTGGGAGGAGGGAGGGGTGGGGAAGCTGGTTTTAAGGGTCTTCATTTACTTCTCATGATCCTGCTCTGAGTTTTTGGAGTTTTCTGTCAGAAATCTCTCTCCTCCCCCACAGGGATTTGGGGCAGTTTTCCCTTTTTGGGGAAAATCCCAGCAATGCACTGATGCTCCTAATTAGCGCTGGGAGAAGTGAGGCTCCAGGGCTTCCTGCTGAGCCGGAGCCACCGAACACCCAGGGCTGGGAAAGGCGGGCCGGGAGCTGCGGAGAACTTTGTTTGTGTTGGGAGCTCAATGGCGGCCCAGGCCGGGCCCGTTCCAGGGCTGTTCCTCATGTCCGCCTTTCCCCTCACACAGCCCGGGGGGCCCTGAGAGCGCGGGGCGGGGCTGTGCCGTGTGCAGAGCCCGTCCCTGGCTGCGATTGGCTGCTTCTGCCGTCACTCGTGGTTCTGGTGCGCTGATTGGGCAGAGCGGGGACAAGCCCGGCCCCGCTGGCGCCCCCAGGGCGGCCGTGGGGCAGGAGAGCCGCCATTGCCGGAGCGTCTGTGCGGGCCCGGGAGTGGTGCCAGCGGCCGGAGCCCGGTGAGGCGGCGGCGGAGCTCGGAGGCGGCCCCAGCCATCGCAGGTGGGAGCCGCGCTCGGTTCTGCGGGGTCTCGGGGCTCGCTGCGGTCGGCGGTGGCGGCGGGGGGCTCTGGCGGGTTGGTTGTGCCGTGGCCGGCCCGTGTTGGCCCTGGCGTGAGGGCGCTGCGGGAGCGGCTGCCCGCGGTCTCGTTCCCGCTGGGGCCTCGGCAGGAGCCGGTGCCGGACCAGCGCTGGCTCGTCCCGGTTCGTGTCGGTAGCCCGGAGGTGGCTGCGCTGTGCCCGGGGCTGTGCAGGAAAATTCCCGGCGCCAGAGGTTTGTGTCCCCAAAGGAGCCAGAGGAGTCCTGTGAAAGTGACTTTATTGCTGCCCAAAGGGAGAGGCCATGGGGCATTTGCCATGCGCTCTCTCCAGTTGTTGGAGGACGCAGCCTCGTTTTTGTCCTAATTTTCCCGGCCGCATGTCCCTGTCCCTTTGCCCACTGGTGGAGGTGCTTGGAAGGTTCAGACTTCTCGATCTGCTTACTGCATGTCCCGGTTAATATGCACACCTCTCTTTTCTATAACATCTGATATTGATGGCTCTGTTAAGTCTTTGTTCTTCTGGAAGTTCAGGAATTTAGCGGGACTTTGAGCAGCGGTCCTCGTCAATTAGTAACATTTTCTGAAACTGTTCTCCCGTTGCTTCCGTATGTGCAAGTCCCTGGCCCTATCTGCAAGCAGATTTCACTCACTGACTCTGTTTTTTCTTCCTGGGTGTTTGATTTTGGGGTTGCTCTCAGTGACCTCATTCTCTGTCCTTTTTTAGCCGTTTGTGGCTCAGGAGGCCTGGCTGCTCCCTGCATCCCCTTGCTCAGCTGCTGAATGAGCTGCACTCAGCAAGGTGTGGTGCATGGTGAAAAGATGAGAGTTGCTGTAGAACATAAGAGGAGAAACAGCATTCATTTAATCCATGGACTGCCAGGGAAACATGGAGATGTGTTCCATTCCCATCTGTCCCATGTTTGGACCAATATGTAAGCTTCTTTCTTATATCCTTTGTTATCTGTTTCTCCACTTTTCCTTTGTGATCTATTTGCCAGCAGCAGTTCGAGTAATTTAACTTTCCACAAACTCTGCCTCCTTTTCCTGCTAAAAGATAATCTGACCCCATCCCATGGTGAAATGTGTTCCTCATCTGAGTGGATTGGTGGGCTGAAAGGTTAGGAGCTAGTGCCTTCTGGTTGGGTATTATTGCGATGACATCCTGTAATCTAATTATACCATGGAAATGATAAATGAGTTCTGTGGCTCCTAATGTGAATTTGTTAGGGTTCCCTGGGGCTGGTCCATGGTGTTGCAGGATTTGTTCTGGTGGCCATTCATCTTTTCCCCTTTTTGGGTCCTCCCTCCAGCTGGGGCTGCATCAATTTTTGGCTTTTCTCTAATTAAATCAGCACATACTTGGATTCCCAACTGATTTCCCTGAACTTGTGGTAGCAAAAAAACCCCAGTGCTCTAATTCACCCATTATAACATAGAAAGTGACAGCATGAGTTAAGGTGGGGAGTGGGATGATTCCCCCCCATTTTTTATAGTGAAATTTTCACAACAATCTCCATTTGCTGTTTTCCTTTTCAGCTTAACCTATTTCTGCTGCAGTCAAATATCCTCACCATGGGTTCTGCCTTTAGCTGTGCAAATTCCTTCTGTGCCAGCAGGCAGAGCTTGGGGTGAGGGGCAGAGGGAATCAACCCAATTCCTCCCCCAGGCAGGAATACCCTGGTACATTGTCCATGCTTTGCCCCAGAGGTGTTGATTTGCATTTCTAAAGCTCCTCCCCTGGCTGCCTGGAATGAAGCTTCTCTCCCAGGGAAGCCATGGGATGACTCACATGGAGCCTCCCTATCTGCTTGCTTTTTTTTTTTTTTTTTTTTTTTTTTTAAACAACATTCTATTAACTGTTTATGTTTTAAAGGGCCTCCTTTCAAGCTCTTATAGTTTTCAAAATGCAGCTTAAAGGTGAACATGGAAAAGCCCATACCATAATTTTATCATCACTAAGAGCCACGCACAAACATAAAAAGAAAAATTAGAAAGCAATCAAGTGTTTTCTTTTTCTTCTCCTCTAACTAAAAACTGATTCTCACACCACTGGCCCAAACAGAACTGACAATAGAGAAGTAGAATTATTACAAAAAATTCTTCTAATGGTGTAATCCTTTCACCGAAACTGTGAAAAGCAAAAACTCTCCAACAATGTCTTTAGAGAAATAAAGCCTTATTTGATTCTGAACAGAATCATTTCAACCACATATAGTCGGCATGTACAGAGAAAATCATTCCATGACATGTGAGTTTTACTAGATGTTTCCTAAACTTTATACAGTCTGAACCCATAGAAATCCATTGGTTTAATGTTCATTGTTTCCAAGTTGTGGAGTCCTTAGTGTTTGGTTTCCTGTTGCACCTGGGTTTCTGTGCCTCTAATGTGAATTAGGTCTGCACTCCTGGGTTTCTTGCTCAGCCTTTTCCAGACCAGGTGTCTCCAGCTGTGCCAGGGGTCAGTGTCTGGGGTAGATGTTGGTTGATGTTTGCTGATGGGCCTTGATGTTTTGTTGATGGTCATTTGTGGGAATCTTTTGGGCTATTCCCAGTCTATTGAGGTGTTAAGCTCATCTCTGCTGAGTGGTGGAACATCCCTTAAAAAAAAAGTTTAAATTCC